CAAACAATGTACAGTAGAACCTCACTAATCCAAACTATGCAAATCTGAAATTTCAGATAATTCAAACAAAATTCGGGATGGAGGAAAAATAAATAAAATGTTTATTTGCAGTGTAAAAAAATGATTTTGGAGTTACTGTAGAAATGAACAACTAATTATTGAAACACAAGTTGTCAAAATGAAATTGTTTGATAATCCTATAGATGTATTTGTATATGTATCATATATTTTTCCGAAAATCGAAACATTTCCAAATCCAAACTGATCACATCCGCAATTAGTTTGGATTACCAGGGTTCTTGTGTACTATTAAAGCATTCACCATAATTTCAAGAGTCAATACTGAAATCAGGGATCCCAAAAAAATGCACATTTCAGCAAATGTGCTAAAATAACATTTTTCCACAAATTTCATTCTCTCTTTACATAATTTATTATATCGACATCTGTACACATACAGTTACATAATTATAAAAACACACACAGAAATCTGATTTATCAAGTACTTTTGAAACTAATCCTTTTAAACTATTTAATTCTTATAAAACAAGGTCATTTTTTTTTATGTCATCTTTGTATTGATGCTTCATTAACAAAAAGTGAATTTATTATGATAGTGAATAATCAATTTTTTTTTCATTCAATGCACTGATATTTTTTTTTAAACAATGGAAGAAAGAAAGAAAGAAAAAACCCACCCACCTATTTTAGGTCACCATCATTCTTTGGAAGCCATGTGGCAACATTCAACTAAATGATACAAAATATTTTAAGGAACTACGAATTACTTCCATCAGATGAAAATTAAATATATTTTAATATTTTCCAAGGCCATATCAAACCACCTCAACACCTACCAAGTATAAACGTATCCTGTATCAAAGATAATTTCTGAACACAAAAATATTTTCATCACAAAAAAAGCTCCCTTTCTTTCTTTTAGCATACTTTCCGTTCATACACAACAATATTTTGTAGATTTAATACTTACGTTTTCAATGTTCCAGAAGTCATGAGTTCAGTAACTAGCACAATATATTTTCTTTTGGTTAAAGTTACTTCCCAATAATCATAGAAGCGTACAATATTGGGGTGTTGCAGACCTTTCAACATTTCTGCCTCTTCACGGAAACGAAGTCGTTCAGTTTTATTTAGTTTCTTTTCCTAATAATTAATCATTATTAGTAAACAAGCTCAAAAACATTAAGTAGTCTGGTGATATTCCAAATGACAAATGTTATATTTACCTGCAATTCACACCAAGCAACTGAAACACCAGTCTGAGTGTCTAGACCTCTAAATACAGTTTTGAAACTACCACGTCCAATTTCTTCCTCAAATTTCAAAAATCTACCATCAGGAGAAGCTCCAATAGCTTTCTCCTCATCATCATCTTCAAGAGCATGTTCTGTAGATGAAGGTTTTGTTTCCAATACTGAAACTGGTGTTTCTTCTGGTTCCAACACTGCAGGTGGACCATCTTCCACCTTTCCCAAGTCACTCTCAATGACCACTTTATCCTCAAGCACAACATCTTGTTCACTATACCGAAGGGTTTTGGCAACACAGACATCAAAACGATCATTCCCTAATTCTTTCTTGTCCTGCTTCACATTATTTACAAGGTTAACAACATGAGATAGTTTTTCACCAATTACATGAGATTTGAACCTCCCTGGAATGTTTTCAGATATGAAACCTGATTCTTCTGATACACCTCTATTCACTCCATGTCCAGCTGTTTCCTCAAGTATATCTGGTTGTGTGGGAGAGGAAACAGCCTCCTCATATGCTATCGACAAAGAACACATACTCTCCCCTTCTCCACTAGCTTCCACATCCCCAGGCCCAGTAGACTCTCCTTTAGATGGTGATAAGATGGCAGGAGTTTTACATACTTCTTGAGTGTCCACAGAGCCTCGTGAACTTGGTCGAGAGCTACGAGACCCTCTCCTACCACCTCCGGCAGCCACACGTCCCCCAGTACCTTGGATAGCCACCTATTAAAATCAAAAGTGTTTCATAAAACCTAGTAAACATTAATAATAATGTAACAGTAAATAAATGACACCGCATTCTATTTCAGCGAATCATTTCGAAAGTTCTTTCTTTGCTGAGCAAATTGAGATCAACACATTGTACCCACATCACTTGACTTTCTAATTAATATCACTCTCATTCAATAGTTAAGTTATCAACATAATGTTTAAAATCATAATGAAAGACCCTTTTGGGAATCAATGCTAGGACCACAGACAAGCGAACATGAGGCTCCAACACCAAAGCATATTTATATCATTCATTATTTCACATTTCATTATTCGTAAATACTCTAAAATCCTACATGGCAAGACGTTGTGCAGCAGCCAGAACGCTCGCCTTTGGTAGTGGGATATAAATCCTGGTTGCTTGAAGTGGGATTTGAAATAGGACAAAAGACGTTTTAGGGTACTTCCATATCCCATGGCTCTCACTCTGCTTCATACCTGCGCTCATCTTTCTCGCTTCTTCAATCATTCGTTAGCATCTTCAACAACACACTTAAATAGAGGACACTATGCTAAGGTATTTCAGTGAATATGTTCATCAGGAATAAGGGAAGTGGAATATGGTCCTTGGGCCATCTCCCCATTTATTCCCAAGAAGATGAAGATTATTAAAATTAAAAATGAAATGAATAAATAATTCCATTAATGAAGATATATAATATATTAATGAAGATATAAATATAATATATATATATATATATTATTATATTCATTTTACAACACCGATTTATCATATGCAATATTTTACCCTGAAGATTTGAAATTTTGTTGTGTCAATACACATGTTACTCAAAACGTACTGACCAATATAAGCAGCTACTATGGTATGAAACTAAGTGTGCAATTTATAAAACTTGTGCACAGAGGGAACATTCTTCATGACTTGTACCTTTTTCTCATGTCCGAGGCTGGAATGCCCCGCACCCGTGGTAGTTCCTGTGGGGGAAGGAGTACTAGATTTACGACGATTCTTTGATGCACCGGTGCTTAAGTTGCGATCGATCAAACGGCTACTAACAGATGGTACAGTAGGAAAGTTTGAAGAACTTGAAACAGATGAAGTGTGTTGTCGATGAGTGTCATGTCTGCAAAATAAACATAGGCCCCAAGTTAGAGATAACACATACCAAACTGCCTGAATAAAAATATAGGGCAGAGTGCAAATGGGAAGGATGAAAAGGAGGATAAATGAAAAATTATAATAATGTGAGAGAAGGGAATAGTGAAAACTAGAATTTTCCATTTCTGATAATTCAGATAATTGAAGTTCAAAGAGGAGAACTATTTGTGGTAATCAAATGGATGAATCACATGTGAAGGGAAGCACAAAAGATAGTTAATTTCCAAAGCTAATTTTCCATACATGAAAATCAATTTATTAATCATATGGCTTAGGTGCAGAGAGACAACCAAATGGTTATTCTGCAGCTGCGTGTAGTGGGCCAACTATGAAGAAGCCCTTTTGAAATCACAAGGTAAAAACTAGAGTAATGGGAGGAGTAACAGACAAAATTATTATGATGCATGATGGTGGGTTTGTTGATGATTACGATTATGATGATGATGGAGATGCAGATTTGTGAAGTCTAAGACAGAAGAAATGGAAAAAAAAAAAAAAGAAAAAAAGAAAAAAAGAAAAAAACACCTCCAAGAAAACATGCTGTGACTCATTTTAGTCACCAACAATTCTACAAGGAGTGACAATGATTTGAACCCTGTTATCCAGGGGTGGAAAGTGAATGGTGCGATTACTCTATGGGTTGTCAATGACAATCCTATGCAAAGGAAGAAACAAGCTGTATCATCTAATTTAATGTGAATCAAAATACAAAAAGGGCACTTGGCAAAAAAATGAATGAGCATATTCTTGAAGAAGAGTTGCAAAATAAACAATAGATTACAGTGAAACCAGTATTAAGCAGTCACTAATCGTACCATGAAAAATTGGCCGTAAATAGAGGTGGCCACTTAATCAAGTTTATAAGATTACACATAATGGTCAGATCTAATTATGGTAAATGCTATAAAATAAAGTAAGTAATAGGTAAAATCATTTTAATTACCTCAAAACTATAAAATAAAACATAAACAACAAACTATACTTGAATTATAAATACGAGGAAATATATTCTTGCATCGATTTTACTCTCTTTTTACAAAAACTGCATTGCAACACTGTTTAGGAAGGATTGCATCTATTTTTGGCATAAGTTCATAAAACTTTTGAATCTTCACAAAATTGTGCGCGTTTCATAGAATATGACAAAGTTTGTGCCCCATTGCACCTAAAACTATCAGTATGTTTCCTAACAAACATTTCTCATTTTGTAGAATCACATGCCTTCTTTCTACTACTGTTGAACATCCTTGACCTTGTGAACCACACTTCCTGCCCCAACTGAAGTGAACTCGCAAACAAAATAGATATGAAAAAGCAATTCGTTTCTGTGGGTAGAGCTGTCCCAGTGTCTAAATGACTACATTGGTTTTGCACGGTGTACTCCTCCAGCTGTTTATGAGTTTCCACAGAGGGGAAGGAGGAATTAGAGAACTTGATGAGAAAGATCTGGTATAAAAGAAGGGAAAGCATTGTCAATTCATAGATACATTTATTAAAATCACCTATTTTTGCCTTAATGAGCCAGAAGAGCAAACAGTTCATATCACTGTTTTATATAATCTGATAATGATTTCTGTCGCACAAAGATATTGTGGCTTCAGTGGTGTAACGGTAAGCGTATTGAATTGTTATATCCAAGTGGACACTCAATTGAAGCCATGCATTTTGGAAGGAGAAAACATCCTTTGTACGTGTTCCATTGAAAGGGAAGCAAGTTGGCTGACCTATGAAGAAGGTTTACCATGTAAAAGACCCTCAAGCCTAAATGAAGCCTCTGAGAAAAATTTACATTGCCTGTTTCATCGCCCAAGCGATACCTTCTTTCACTGACAGACTGTGAAAGAGCCATAGCAGAATTTGCATGGAAGAGCAGGCCTGAGCCTTGCCACTGAAAACAAAGCATCAAGTAATTGAATTGAATACTGAATCAACAGTATATCCACCATTTTTTCACTTCTTACTGTTCAAAATCAAATAGTTCACTATGAACATGCTGTCAACAGCAACCTCATACACTCTGCAATGTGCAGAGCTAGTAGACTGACTCATTCTCTAAATCATATGTTAGGAATGTTAAGAGGTGATGTGTATGATGTAATGACAATCTCATTAGGTCATTAAATACAGATTTCATGAAAAATGAATAAGTGCACTCAAAAGAGCCAATGAAAATCATTTTCATTTAAGTGCATTTCTTCAATTAAGATAATAGGGAAGAGGGAAAATTATTTTTATGAAGTTCATACTACAGTGATTTATGAGAAATACAAAATTTAATGATAATGATAATGATCATATTGTTTGCTATCCAACACTGTTTCCTAAACTTCCTTGGGTGAAATTCACGCGAGGACAGTGTTCCATTTGTACTATTTAGTGTTCCATTTGCAAGAACAAAGTCTTATTATTATGATCCATTACGGAGAATATGTCACAGAGTACACAATTACTTGTTTTATAAGCTTAAATGTAATGTTAAAAACCTGATTTTGAATTATTATAATTGATGTTTTTGTAATGTTTTACTTTAAACGTAACGTTAAAAACGCTGAATGCTGAACAAATCAGATAATGAATAGGTACATTCCTAAATAACTACTATTTTTTAATCTATTTCATCATATGTCAATTCATAACAATCTACACATTAATAATTGACATAAAAAGAAAGGAAATTTAAACCAACTACACCTCATTTCCCTGATATATTATTTGCATGACACTTGATCAATAAACTATACAACACATTAAGTACAGTTTTAGCAACTAGTCTTCTTTGTTATATTCTATGGGGAATATAATTTTTCCAAGTGGGCATGCTTCTCTTCTAGACTTGTTTAGTTTTACAACACAAAGTTGACTGTTAGCTTTATACATTTCACAACTTCAGTATCAGCTCTTGATCAATTTTTTAAGGTCCATTGACGTTCTAAGAAGCAATTCTGAATGGCTAGCCATCTTGGAAGCAAACGCGAGTCCAAATAATTTTTGACACTACAGTGCAGTGATAACAATAAAAACAATATGATAACAATAAAAAATTCAATTCTTATATTGATTTAATAGTATACTGGTTACCAGACCAGTATACTATTTTTTCCATAACAGATCTTTTAAGGCAATCATTATGTAACATTTTACTATAGTATCCTATCATTATGTAACGCACTACTATAGTATTCTATCACTATGCAGTAAAAAAAATAACCAATAAGCTAGAAGAAATATACTACTCCGACCCTAGCAGCATCATTGTTACATTGTAAGTTGCATTGGAATTGGACAACTGAAGAGAAGATAAAATATTTTCCTAATACCGATATCTTTAGCTTTCCATGTGCTTTTTATGAACAGTAAGTGTACATTTGTTATAAATAATATATTAACAGAACAGGTCAAAATTCTAAATTTCTAGGCTGTGACCTCTTCCTATAAAGCTGAAGTTGATGTGGAAAGAAAAGATATAAACTTTAACAGCATTTGTGGAACTATTCGAAGAAAGTTTAAAAAGCAAACTAAAAAAGAAACTACAGTAACCTGCAGACTTGACAGATGTGGAAACCAATAACAAAAATGTAATAAAGGCAGCTCAAATGAGACATCTTTCATCTGTAGCAGGTGTAACAAGAACAGATCATATCCAAAATAAGGAAATAAAAAAATCCCTAAATATGTATTGTCTGAATGAAGCAATAGTCAAATTCAAAATGTCTGAAGATTAATGTGAAACGTTTGCACAGAGAGATATCCCTATTAAATCTTATTATCAAGCCTCAAACTAAAGAAACAAAGCGTGGAGAGAAAAAAACATCGGTGGATCAAACACGATTGAACAACAGCATACAGTGTGCCAAAGGCCTAAACCTTGAAGATCATGATAAAGACCAAGAAGACGACGGCGAAGACGACGGCGAAGACGACGGCGAAGACGACGGCGAAGACGACGGCGAAGACG